AAAATTATATTTAAACTGTTTTTTATTAATAAAATAAAGAAAAAATCATATGAAAAATAGCTAAAAGGTCATCTACAGTAACTTCGGACAATACATCCAGAAAAAGTTACTCAACATTATTTTTCTTATTATTACACAATTAGCGCGCGAAATAAAAATTTAAGTGTTTGGTAAATATTTTGGTTGTAAGTTTGATAAACTGAAAAACATAATTACTAAACGGGCTCTTAGTAAATGTTGATACAAAGTCGAATCTCGAACCGACATTAAATGTCTATTTTGACAGACATTAATGTATATTTTGCACTAGTGTATTGACATATTAATATTATAATTAGTATTTCATAATAATACTTTGTCACTTGAAAGTGTTATAAGCTTTAACGTACTATTTAGAGGAGTCTCATTCATGTCCAGTCGGTCTGGTGGGAACGGCCGTTCGGACGAGGGAATTTCGGGACCGATCCAGTGGAATTTTTTGATGATTTTTTTTTGAACATGTTATTCATCAAGTCTAGTTTATCCATACCAAATTTCAACTAACATTTAAATCGGGTAGACAGTCAAACGTGTAATTGAAAACGACTGCGCTGTTTATATAGATATATAGCGCAATTATCTTCAAAAAAATCCGAAAAGATGAATTACAAGTTAACTCCATTAGGTATACTAAGTTTTTTTGTTATTTTGAGGATGGGCCTGACTTTTATACCTACATACTAGGTTAAAAAATAAAAAATTGAGTTTGGGCCTAGGCCCTCCCTGACACTAGGCCCAATCCGCACCTGGTGAAGGTTCCACTTTATATTTAAAAGATGATGGGTTTACTTCTTAAAAACTTATTCAAACCAGTAAGATAAGTAAATTTGAGTGGCCCGAACAATCTGTTAAGTTACTGACATAGGCGGCGGCCATTTAGTTATCACCGCGCATGATAAAGTAGGGTTGGCATTTTAAACTGCAAATAACGAAAACCGGATAAAAAATAATCAAATTGCGTTGAAAATAACTGAATCAGACTGAATCGATAAATTTTGAGACTCGAATCGTTAATCCGGTCGCTTGGCCTTAGTTTGAGCGTGAATCAGATGGATTCGCCTCTACGAGACATGGGTTTGAAGGACTGAAGGTCTTTTTCGTACTTTATCAAAATATAACACCAAAAATCGTTTTTTTTTGAAGAAGAAGAAGGGGCCCATGGCCTCCAAGGTTAAGTCCATAGATTTATTTTTAGCCCAATGTAAAATATGAAATTGAACAAATCCTCGTGGAATCCATCGTTGTGTGATAAATTTTCTTTCCTAATTACTCATGTTTCATCATATTGTAAAGAATAAACATACTCGAGGCATAAATGTTGTAATATAACTTTCTTGTTCCACAATATTAAGTACTTAACATTTAGTTGGTGTTCTTTGAGTGCCAACTATATGACTGTTGTTTAGGGGATGACAAAGGGACGCATCCGGGGCGGGTACACATAAAACCGAAATCGCCTCGTTTGATAAATGTTTGCCACGAAACTGCCCCATTACCGATTCGGGTAATTTATATTTGAACCGTACCCGCCCCAACGGGGAATCGGTTTATCCACGGGTAACCGTTTTCCCAAATGATACCGAATAACCAATCTCTAATCCTACTTGTCAATGTAAACATCCTTCGTAATAAATTTATAAATTATATATTCAAAGCACCATAAAACATACAAAAGTAAATATTCAAGCAATCGAGCAGTTTAGTCCTAAATCAATTAGTATGACAAGCACCCAATCATCTCAGAATATAAATTCATAAAACAAATTTAGCCCTAAATTTAGTTTGAGGCCTAAAAAGTAGTAATCCTTCCCAAAAGCAATTTTAGGCCTAAATTCATTACGCCATCAAATTAACTCTGATTTAGGGATGTTATGGTTTTTGAAGTGGACCTCTGGTGTGTTATTCTGTATATACTTATATGATATATACGATTTAGTGTACACAATTTAGCATATATACTTATTATTCTTATATGTAAAGAGTCATAACTTATTAATAATGTTACAGATGGGTAATGATGCGAGTACCCTCGCCATTAGTGAACGAGGCAATTTCAGGGCGGATAACGAGGCGGATTAGTATAGAACCATAACCGCACCATTATCCATTTAAAACCCCCCCGGATATTACCTGCCCCCTACCTATTCCCCAGTCAAACCGGTTTCCCCCCATTTTGACCAAATCGGTTCGGTGTAGGTATCCAACGGGTCGGCCGAAATTGTCATCTCTATTGTTGTTTGATGAATATCGTTATATTTGCTTCAAACTATATGACTATTGTTTGATTAACATTGTTATCTCTGCTTAAAATACAAAATCATTTTTTTATCAAACTCTCCAACTTTAACTTAAATATCAAAAGCAATTATATTCTAAAAACACTATCAACTTTTACTAATAAACATTTTCTCTTAAGTTGAAGCAATAACAAACACTCCGTAAGTCACATATTCCGATCATGTAGTATATGTTGCGCTCAATGCATCAAATACTAGTTCAATTTTATGCTTCTTTATTAAAATAATCAGTTTGTTTCGGTTTTCGATAAGCCGACCCGAGATCATATCCCAATAAATTGGTAACCGATCTATGAATGGTTCGATTTTGGGTGTGATAGTTTGAGTAACCGATATTTTGGTTCGATTCCAAGATTCATTGAATCGGTTCGGAACCCGAAACAAATCCAACCCTATGATAAAGCATTGTTAACTGATCGACTTTGGTCACAATTTTGAATAAGAAGAAGAATATCATCTCAGAAAAGTTTTCCAAATTCTACCAACTTTCACCTTGAGGATATCATGGATGATGTGAAGTGTGACATACTTCATCCTCTCTTTAATAAGTGCATTACTTTGAATTTGAAATATTCACACACGTTACTTTAATCATGATTTTCTACTTATATACTTCATTCAGTTTTCTTTTTTACTTACAACGGTCAACATTTCACATTTGACAACACACGTCTTTTTCAATATTAGTAAAAAAATATCAAAATTCAGATTTTGAAAATTTGTAATGAAATGAATTGAACAATATTTTTTTAAAGATAATTTTCATAAAACAATATCGTAAAATGTAGTCAAAATAGAGCATGCGAATAGTGTAAAATTCAACATGTTGCGATTAAAACAGAACGGAGGATAGTATATAATCAAATTATTATAGTATATAGAATATCATTAAATTTCTATTAATGTGAACTTTCAAAATATTAAATTTTTATAATGTTTATTAATACAAATTTAGTATTTTTACAGTTAAAGTTGTGGGTCCATAAACAAAGTGTAATTAAAAAGAATTGGAATTAGTACTGTCACTGGTTTAGGGTTTACTTTTTTGAATCGTGACTGTAGTGCACGTGATCCTTACTATACATATATAGTCCGTATATTATTTTACATTACTCCGTAATCCGTATTATTATGATAATAATTAATTATTAGTCCGTATTGTTGCCGTGGGAGTGGGGTGGAACCACAACAAATTATTATGATAATAATTAATTATTAGTCCGTAATCCGGTGTACATGTATACCCGGTATTTTTGTAATACGTATCAACTTTAAGCCTGATTCTTTCATCCCTGCTCTGCCCGTTACTTTTAGTCTTGTTTTTTCCGCTCCTGCACATTTTTTCTTGATGTTTAACCCTTGATGTTGCTTGAAATTTTTTCTTTTCTCATTCTTTTCTTTTCATTTCGTTTATTTTAATTGTTGCTTTTCGTTTCTTTATTTTTTCTTTAACAATTGATAAAAAAATTTACTTTATTTTGTTTATTCAATTATTATTTGTATTATATAAAATATTATTTATTATTTAATGTTTGAGTTTGTTTTTTCTTTTTCCAATCAACCTTCTAACTTAAATTTTTTTATTTGTGCATTATAAAATATTTTAGGTATTATAGAAAAGAGTTTGTGTTATATTCGAATAAGTCTGATGCTCATTGGAAGTGTTTTAATGCTCATAATAGGTCTGATACACATTAAAAGTTCATTAATGCTCATTTAACAGAAATTGTGATTTTCATCTCAATAGAGGAGAATTGATGCTCAATGAAAATGTCATTATATCAAACTAACAAACTTTACTATTTTCATATCAGTGAACATTTTGTACGTTATGTATGCTCTTCTGGTACTCATCCTATGCTCATTTTCTAAATGTCAAATCAATGTATTTTTTGAAAGTACTATTTTACATTAGATTCACATATTGAAATTAATAGTAGTTGATTATAAATATAACTTAATAAGTTTTATAAAAGAAAAAATAACAAAAAGAAAGTGAATTAGAAGTTATGAAGCAGAGACCACGATTCTGAATATTAGATTCCTAATACTCAACATAATAGGTCGGATGCTCATTAAAAGTTCATTAGTGCTCATTCACCAGAAACCGTGATTTTCATCTCAATAGAAGATGTTTGATGCTCAATTAAAATGCCATTTTGATGCTCAATTCACCAGAAACCGTGATGTTCATATCAATGTGCACTTTGTAAATTATGTATGATCATTCAGTACTGATGTTGTGCTCATTTTTGAATTGTTCTATCAATGCATATTTCAAAAGTATCAAATTACATTAGACTCGCATATTGAAATTAATTTAAATTTATAGATATAATTTAATAAGTTTTTATAAAAGAAAAAATAAGAAAAAAAAATAGAAGATATGAAGTAGAAATCATGATACTCATTGTTAGTCTCTTAAATACTCAATAAAATAGGTCTGATGCTCATTAAAAATACAATATTGCTCATTTAACGGAAATCATGATTTTTCACATAAATTACAAAAATGCCACCGATTTTTTTTTGACATATATTAGTCGTTGGGTCGTCTTTCTTATTTGGACCGAGTGCATGTACACCCCGGATGCACTCTATACAAACTCGTGGAACCACCATGTCATCTCATTTTCTATGTTTATTTATTTATTTATGATGAGTTGATGGTGGTGCATGGAGTTTTTTTTTAATACGGAGTATTTAAAAACAAAACCCCCCAAAACCTCCACTGTTCTGTGGCTGCAGGAGGGAAGTCGAATATACTATCAGATACAGGGGCAGCAGCAGCAACCCGACCGAACGAAGGCTTAAACTAGAACCCCGCCCCCCCGCCGTGACGCCGCAGCAACCGGCAATGACATTCGCTCCCGTCGTTTCTTCCCGCCCCTGCGCCGGCTGCTTGTCTTCACGCGCTTTATCGCCGCGTCTCAGCTCCAATCTCTCGCCTAACAACACATTGTCTTCCGTCCCAAACATATCCCTGCTTTCTCCCTATCCACGCCCTCCTCGTCTCAAGTAAGATTCTTGCTTTCCTACTCTTTACTTTGGCAATACCGACTGACTTCACTTTAGCTCCAGCTTATATAAATTAATCCTTTTGATTTCCTTTTATTGTTCTTTTGTTGCGAAATTCAAGTTCGCTTCATTCAACACAATCACAGCAATCAAAGTACATTACAGAATTGATTGATTCTAGTTCACACCATTTTTTCTGTCCGTGTTGCAGAATTGATTGTTGTTCACAATGGAGCACAACAGTCACGTCAAATTCACATATTTCTGTCGCAAGTCCAGGTATATTCACCTTTCTCTCTAATCCACACAGGCTTCTCAATGGCCTAATTGTATTTGTATACATTAATTTAGTTGAACTCCTCCTAGTTTCTCTGCTTTAATTCTCGTGTTTTTGTCTACTTTAACACTATGATAAACATCAGATAAAACTCAGTTTCCCAAGGGTGAGACCTGGAGTGTTCACAAATTTGGCGGTACTTGTGTTGGAAGCTCTGATAGGATAAAGAATGTTGCTGATATAATAATCCGCGATACATCCGAAAGCAAGTTGGTTGTTGTGTCCGCAATGTCAAAAGTGACAGATATGATGTATGATTTGGTTCACAAAGCACAATCCCGGGACAACTCATACACAAATGCACTCGATGCTGTTCACGACAAACACAAGTTGACTGCAGTAGATTTAATTGATGGAAACGATCTTACCACTTTCTTATCAAAACTGCATGGAGACATCAACAACCTTAAAGCTATGCTTCAAGCAATATATATAGGTGCGTCTCTTTATACTCCTTTAATGTCAACTCATCAACAATAACACATCTGCACCTATACTTGTAACTCTTTCGTATAGTGATCTTTTTGTAACGAGGCATCTCTAATCAACACCTATCAAACTCAATCTTGTTACTTGTTAGTAAAGTTTGTATTCAAACATGATGCCTAAAATCTAAAAAAAAATCGGGCTGAAGGAATATTAGAAAACATATTTTTTTAGGAAAGACTATTACTTCAAGTCCACCTTGAAATGAATATGCAACCTGCATGCAAAAATCTGTTAATTTATTTAAAACATCACTCCCCTTTTAAATTTCATTTGAGTTATTTCTCTTTTTTCATTTTTTATATTAGTTTATTTTTTTTGGGGGGGGGGGGGGGGGGGAGGGGGGAGGTAACACAAACAAGAAAAACAGAACTATAAAGGAAAATGAAATGTGTGAGACTGGAGGTTGGCTTAGTTGTCAGATAAACTTTTAAGCTGGGCTTGCAGCCGAACATTCTAAACTAGTGATTCTTTCAACTTTTTGTTTTAAAATTATGACTCTGGCCAATCAGGGATGCTCAAATGTAAATGTTGTAGTGTATCTTTTAATTTTAATTTTTAAATTTATGGTTAAATTTTAAATTTATCAATAGGTCAATCAGAGAGGCTCAGATGTAAACGATTTATAGTTTACCTTTCACATTTTCTTTTTGATTTATTAATATGGTAAACAGGGGAGAAGCTGTGATGTTAATATTATAAATAACCACATTGTCACTGAAAGACTAAAGCTTTCTATGGTCTTTGCTTGAAGATTATTATTGTCATACTAATTTATGTAGTTTTAAACTTCACATTGCTTGCGGGATTTATCTCACTTTAATTTACTACCAAACCCAGTTCTTACTCTAGTTCTCCAGTTTCACCTTCAACCTGAGAGTTTTTTTCATTGCAGCTGGTCATGCAACCGAATCATTTTCAGAGTTTGTTGTTGGGCATGGAGAGCTATGGTCTGCTCAATTGTTATCTTTAGTTATCAAAAAGGTTATTCGATAGCTAATTTCTTTCCAGATTACTAGCTCAACAGTTTTTGCAAAGAAAACTTAGTCCGAAATTGTTGCGTTTTTTGGACTGTCAATGCAGAATGGTGTGGACTGTACTTGGATGGATGCAAGGGAGGTCCTTGTTGTAAGTCCTGCTAGTTCTAATCAAGTTGATCCTGATTATGTGGCGTCTGAGGAAAAACTTGATCTATGGTACTCTAAAAACCCATCTAAGACAATCATTGCAACTGGTTTTATAGCAAGCACCCCCCAGAATATACCTACTACCTTGAAGAGAGATGGAAGTGACTTTTCTGCTGCCATTATGGGTTCTCTTGTAAGAGCATGCCAAGTTACAATATGGACAGATGTTGATGGTGTGTACAGTGCTGACCCAAGAAAAGGTTGAATCAATAGAATGTTAATCAACTTCTTTTGGTTAGATAGCATACCTGCATGAATCTGTATCTCTGTTATCGTAGATAGAAAAAAAATGATCTGTAATGAAAAATTACTGCTTATGCAGTTAGTGAGGCTGTGGTACTGAAGACATTAACGTATCAAGAGGCGTGGGAAATGGTAAGTCCATGATTTATCCCGCTACTATTCTCTAACTTTGCTAAACTTAAAATTTGCAATCTTTTTGCAGTCATATTTTGGTGCAAATGTCTTACATCCTCGAACAATTGTTCCTGTGATGCATTACAATATCCCTATTGTAATAAGGAATATCTTCAATCTTTCTGCACCTGGAACAATGATTTGTCAGTCTTATGGCAATCAACAAGACGATGGACAGGGATCAGAATCACTTGTCAAAGGATTTGCTACAATTGACAATATAGCACTTGTGAACGTTGAAGGGTGAGAATGAAGTTGTACCACGTGTTAGTTATCTTCCAATTCTCTGCATATTTTACAGCAAGTTTGCTTTACAGAACTGGAATGGCTGGTGTTCCTGGCACAGCCAGCGATATTTTCAGTGCAGTGAAAGATGTTGGCGCTAATGTCATCATGATATCGCAGGTATCTGGGATCTCTGTCTTTGATGCAAGTCAATTTGCTTTTGTTTGTACACTGAACACAGACTAGTATAACACAGGCTAGTAGTGAGCACTCTGTATGCTTTGCTGTACCGGAAAAAGAAGTAAAAGCAGTTGCTGCAGTTTTAGAGTCCAGATTTTTCCAGGCTTTGGGTGCTGGACGCCTTTCCCAGGTTTCCTTGAAATTCTTTTTCTGCATTCTGCAAAAATATGACATTGCATGTGTTTGTTGGCTAGTTGCTTGCTGGCTGTGGTACCATATTCATATTTAAAATAGAGATGAAACAGCAATTGTGGGTAACTTCACAGTTCATAGAGAAAATTCTACAAAAACTCCCAATGCTGGGAAAACATTGTCAAAATTAGTGTTCTGAACACTGTGCTTTTACCTTTTTGACAGCCTTGTTAAACATTAAGTTTTTCTTGTTCTAGATTTCAGTGATCCAAAACTGTAGCATTTTAGCAGCAGTTGGTCAAAGGATGGCAAGTACACCTGGAGTTAGTGCTACACTTTTCTCTGCACTTGCAAAGGTTCAAGAGTGTAACTCATCTCATCTTGCTTTGAAACTTCATGCCGCTTCTGTGAGTGACTCTATTCTTAACATGAAGACATCAAATCATGAAAATCCGCATGTTGATGCAGGCCAATATCAATGTCCGTGCCATCGCTCAAGGTTGCTCAGAGTACAATATTACAGTAGTCATTAAACGAGAAGACCGTGTAAGGGCTTTACGTGCCGTGCACTCGAGATTCTACTTATCAAGAACAACAATTGCAGTTGGTGTTATTGGACCTGGGTTGATTGGTAGTACATTGCTTGACCAGATCAAAGATCAGGTATTCCACTTATGTGATTGACAGACTTACTTCAACACTATGTTAAGGGCCTTGGTACAAGATCTAGTCCAAGGTCGATGCTTCTGAGAAGAACAAGAAAAATATGAATCTATGGTGCCTGAAATATTAATCGACTCCCGCCCTCGGCAAGGAGTTTGTCGCAGGTTCCACCGTACGCCAAATAAAATTAATATTCCAAAGCTAATCTCATTAATCCAACTGATAAGCCTTAAATAGGCTAAAGACAAGTTTCCTAAAACAATAATAGGAAAGAAGTAATACAGAAGCTCCTAAACTAGTATAAGGAAACCTGAATAAATAAACTCAAAGTAGGAAACTGATTTAATTAATTAAAATAGACTCAAAGTAGGAAACTGATTTAATTAATTAAAATAATGAGGACCACTCAAGCTGGTCCCTTCTTTGACCGCCTCTGGTAGACTCGGCCAAATCGACCCATATCATCACTCCCTCCGTTGACAACGAGCTTGTCCTCAAGATCGAAATCAGGAAAATTCTCACAGAAGGAATCCAATGTTTCCCATGTAGCCTCTTCCAAAAGTTGTCCTGCCCAGTGGACAAGTAGTTCCCAGCTACCCTGATATGGACGAGCCTTCAAAATGGACAGAGGTTGGAGTGGGGGTGGCAGGCTGTTCAGTTCTGGTAAGGTTCCCATCGTCAAAGGTGTGTCTCCTCTGTGTGGCTTGAGTAAAGAGACATGAAAGACGTCATGAATTTTGCTTGATGGAGGAAGTATCAGGCGATAGGCAGCTTGCCCAATAGCTTCCTTTATCTGAAAGGGCCCAAAAAACTTGGGTGAAAGCTTGTGAGTATGCCTGATGAGTGACAATTGGCGATGTGGATGAATTCTGAGCCAAACCCAATCACCTGGGGTGAATGACAAATCCCGATGGCCCTTATCGTATTGGAGTTTCATACGTTGTTGAGCTTGGAGCAATCTGGTCTTGGCTATGGTGAGGATGGAGTCGCGGTCAATGAGCGCTTGGTCCACTGCGTCGAGCTTGGCAGTGCCAGGTGTGTAAGAAAGTAGTTTGGGCGGGTCACGACCATACACTAACCTGAAAGGAGTATCACCTAAAGATGTATGGAAAGATGTGTTGTAGCAATACTCCGCCCATGGAAGCCAACGAACCCAATCTCGTGGACAGTCGCCGGTAGTACAACGGAGGAACATTTCCAAGGTGCGATTCACCACCTCAGTTTGACCATCTGTTTGAGGGTGGTAGGCTGAAGAAAATCGAAGTTGGGATCCACAAAGACGGAATAACTCACGCCAAAAGGAGCTCACAAACACTTTATCGCGGTCAGAGACAATTGATTCCGGCAGGCCATGGAGGCGAAAAATTTCAGAGAAGAAGACTGCTGCCACTGAAACAGCCGTAAATGGATGTGCTAGTGCAATGAAATGAGCAGCCTTAGATAACCGATCAACAACCACAAAAACAACTGATTTTCCCCGAACCTTGGGCAATCCCTCGATGAAGTCCATGGAGATATCTGCCCAAATGTGATGAGGAATGGGCAGGGGCTGCAACAAACCTGCAGGCTGGAGGTTCAGCCATTTGTGTTGTTGACACACTTGGCAATCCCGCACATGGTCAGTGATGGTCTTTTTCATGCCAGGCCAATAAAATTCGCGACGCACCCTCTGTAATGTCTTAGCACTGCCTTCATGGGCCATGTAGTGGAACAAATTGACTATAGTTGGAATTGCAGCAAAAGATGGCAGTAAGTACACTTTATGTTGGAAAAACAGCAACCCCTCTCGATATGCCCACTCGGTTCCCAAGGCACCTTCGTCAAGCTGGCGTCAAAGAGCTCCAATTTCGGACGAGGAAGCTTGTTCCTTACGGATATCCTCAAGCAAAGTTGTATAAGGAATGGACAACGCTGCTAGGTGAGGCTGAGACTCATCACGGCGAGATAAGGCATCGGCAACCATGTTGTACCGACCAGGTTTGTATTCTACCCGGAAATTATACCCCATCAACTTACTGAGCCAATGTTGTTGGGGAGAAGTCGTTAAGCGTTGCTCCAGTAAGTGTTTCAAGCTAGAATGATCGGTACGAATTAAAAATTCTTGCCCCCAGAGGTACGGTCGCCAATGGGTTACTGCCTTGGCCAACCCGATCAATTCCCGCTTGTATGCGGCTAATTTGATATGACGATCTGCTATTTTGCGGCTGAAATACGCGACAGGATGACCCTCTTGTTGCAAAACTGCCCCAAAGCCACTCCTTGAGGCATCACATTCAATGACAAATGGAATTGAAAAGTTGGGCAGTTGAAGTACAGGAGCTGTGGCCAAGCAATGTTTAAGTTGGTTAAAGGCAACAGTGGCCTCCTCATTCCAATGGAATGAATGTTTCTTTAAGAGTTGCGTGAGTGGCAAGGCAACCTCCCCATAATTTTTGATAAATTTACGGTAGTAGCCAGCCAGGCCTAGAAACCCACGCAAGGCCGTTAGTGTCCCTGGCAGAGGCCACTCTTGGATGGCTTTAACTTTCTCCTGGTCAACCTTGACGCCTTTTTCGTGAATGATGTGACCCAAATACTGCACACTATCAGTTCCAAAATAGCATTTGGAGCGTTTAAGAAATAGCCCATGTGCGCGGAGGATATCAAAAACTAAGCGGACATGATGGATATGCTCCACCCAGCTCTTACTATAGATTAAGATATCGTCGAAGAAGACCAGAACAAACTTCCGGAGATAAGGGCCAAAGATGTCATTCATTAGGCATTGGAAGGTGGATGGGGCATTAGTGAGGCCAAAGGGCATGACCAAGAATTCAAAATGACCATGGTGTGTGCGGAAAGCTGTTTTGGGAATGTCCTCCTGGGCCATTCGAATCTGGTGGTAGCCAGACCGGAGATCCAACTTCGTAAAAACTTTTGCCCCATGGAGCTCATCCAACAATTCATCGATCACCGGAATTGGGTATTTATCCTTCACTGTTTTACTGTTCAACTCTCTGTAGTCGACACAGAAACGCCACGAGTCATCATGCTTCTTAACCAAGAGCACTGGAGAAGAGAATGACGAATGACTAGGTTGAATGATCCCTTGTTCTAACATTGCAGCACATTGTCGCTCAATCTCATCCTTTTGGAAGTATGGATAACGGTAGGGGCGTACCACAACCGGGCCACAACCAGGAACTAAAGTTATGCGATGATCGCATGGCCGTGGAGGTGGCAGACCGCGCGGTTCCTGGAATAAATCCTGGAAGTTGCAGAGAATACCTTCTAGGGGTGAATGCTCATGTGAAGTGGGAAGTGCCATGTTTGCTGGTTTGCAGTATGGCGTTGGTTTGCCCTGCCATATGACGGTTGCACCCATCCACTGAAATTGCATAGACAGATTGTGGAAATTCCATACGATCGCGCCTAAGCCTCGTAACCACTGGACCCCCAAAATCATATCAAAACCAGCCATGGGAAGAACATAAAAATCAGCATGGAAGGGAACTCCCAAAACCTCAAAAGTTAACTGAGGACAGCTACCCAAAATAGGGACCTTTTCGCCATTTGCCACCACCACAAACAAAGAATTGTCTGTGGGTGAACTATACTCGAGTCCTTGAGCCAATCGTGCATGCACAAAATTATGCGTGCTCCCAGAGTCGACTAGAATCAGAACTGGTTTACCTCGCAAGGAAGCTGTAATTTGCATTGTTGTGGGTGAGCAGGAACCTGACATGGCATTGAGGGACAAGGCAAAGTCAGAATCGATTGTTTCATCGCCTTCGTCATCCCAGATTTCCAAGGCAAAAAGCTGCTTGCAACGATGACCGCGAACCTAACGTTCATCACAATGATAGCAAAGACCTTTGGCTTGGCGACTGGCTGCCTCCGCTCTGGAAATCCGACGACGCCAAGTGGGAGGCTGCTGTGAGTCCTCAATGGTCTGCTTTGGATTTGAAGCAAGCAGACTGGTTTGTGATGCGATAGGCATAGGGGATTGTCTTGGTTGAGGTCGTGTGACTGGGAGTAGTGCCACAGATTGTTGTTTGCGCTCAATCTGCCTGGCCAGATTCATGGCAACGTCCAAGCTTCCTGGAGCCTGAAACTCCAGTTCTAAACGGATTTCCTGACGAAGCCCTGCCATGAATGCGTTGACTTCGAATTGACTGGGTAATCCATCTACACGCGCCAACAGTTTCTGAAACAAACTAATATATTCCTCCACTGTCCCCGTTTGTTTGAGTTGAAAAAGATCTCCCGAAGGGTTGGTGCTTAAAGGTGGTCCAAAACGAAGGAGACAGTTTTCAGAAAAGGTGTTCCACGATATACCTGCACGCAGTTTATCTGCCCAGAGTTGAGCATCGCCTGTCATATGAAAAGTAGCTAATCCGACACGTGCGATGGGGGCTGTCTGTTGATGTAAAAAAAATCGTTCACAACGCTTCAGCCAGCTCAGTGGGTCACTTGTACCATCATAGGTAGGAAAATCGAGTTTGGAATAGCGGGGCACAATGTTATTCTCGCTACTGACTCGAGTGTGGTGTTCGTGAAATTCCCTATGATCACCATGGGATCCGGAGGGGCTGTTACTGTTGGAGTCAGTATGTGGGCCTGCAGATTTACTAGTCAGGGCGGCAAGCTGCGTGGAAAAAGATGTAACGAGATCTGTAATTTTTGCCTCAAGCGATCCTTGTCGCTGGTTAATATCTGCCATGAAGATTTTGAGTGTCTCTGCGGTGATGTGCTCGTTCCCCATCGTTCTGGATACTGATACCAAATTGTTAAGGGCCTTGGTACAAGATCTAGTCCAAGGTCGATGCTTCTGAGAAGAACAAGAAAAATATGAATCTATGGTGCCTGAAATATTAATCGACTCCCGCCCTCGGCAAGGAGTTTGTCGCAGGTTCCACCGTACGCCAAATAAAATTAATATTCCAAAGCTAATCTCATTAATCCAACTGATAAGCCTTAAATAGGCTAAAGACAAGTTTCCTAAAACAATAATAGGAAAG